AGAGAGAGAGTGTGTGTGTGAGAGAGAGAGTGTGTGAGTGTGTGTGTGTGTGTGTGTGTGTGTAGCTGACAGTATTTTGTTACATTTGCTAGAAATTAATCTGAGTTATGAAACTAACATTTCCACTCAGATAGTAACCTGCAAATATTTCACAATAAAAGTCATGTGAACTAGTTTCCTCCAAAGTGAGTCTGAGGATGTGATTTTATTGTTGGATTTCATATTGTAACTAATTATTTATATTTATATTTTATTATAATATTATTACTAGTACAGTACTAAACAATCTGTCAGATGATCACAAATATATTACATGAAGACTTTTGTTCCCGCTCTCCTCTATTTCCTGAGATAATAAAAATTAGAAAATTGTAATAAAATATAAAGTTCTTCAACTGTCTGTATCGTCCTGAGCTCTGCAGTGGCTGATGGGAGCGCTGCAGTGGCTGATGGGAAGATGTCGCTGCAGGTATCAGAAAGGTTGAAACTGTTTGAACCATTGTTAGTGAGACTCCTTCAGAATAAAAGGAAAAGAACAAAGACAATGAAAGCTGGAGGTGAAAGTGTAAACTGATCTGTGAACGCAGCGATCGTCTGCAGGGAAACTAAACTCACTTCATTCTTTATTGTTTCCTGTTTATGAACTTTTACTACATTTAAAAGAGGTAAAGTCACTTTTTACTTTATCTTTATTAGGATTATATCACAGCTGCACTCAAATACTCTGAGTTAAAGACGGCTGAAGGTATTTTTATAATCACATTTAATTATTAGTAGTTCAAGTTGGAAACTTTGTGTCAATATAAGTTATTAAAATAATGTTTGTATTTGTTAAAGTTGTATCTAAATCAATAAATTAGAACTTTATTTTGCATGTAGAGTTTGCACAAAACAACAGGTTATTAAACTATAAAGTAGTTCAAATCAGGACTTCTTTTACTTTATTTTGCTGCTTTTATATTTTATTTTCTGTTCAGAATCCAGTGAAATGTTTCTGCATCCTCTCAGGTAACAAACCCTTCATCCCTTCATCCCTCAGTCTTCCTCCAGGAGCTCTTTAAATGTTTCCAGATGAGTCTTTGTGGATCTTTAAATAAACTCTTTCTGCTTTTATTTCAAACAACAAACTTCAGATTTTACACCAAAATAAAAGCCGTTGAAATAAAATGACCCCCCCGGCCCCTCCCTCTCTGTATCGATGGCTGCGGGTGAGGGGCGCGCGGGTATCGATGTGTGCGGCGGGAGGGGAGGGGGCGCGTGGCCGGAGCTGTGGGCGGACCCCGGGTTCGCGCGTGGCGGCGGGAGCTGCCTATAAAACGGATCAGGGTCCGGGTCCACCTCACCTGTCTGAGTCCTGCAGTCAGTCCGCTGCTCACCTGAGAGTCCGCACAGGAAGCAACCGGAGGATTTAACGCAACACTGCGGGATTAATGCGGGACGAGTCACCGCGTTCACGGTGTTAACGTCTCTGAGAGGAAAACACAGGTAGATATTTATTTATTTATTTTATTTTATTATTTCATTATTTCTGCTGAATCCGAAGTTTGAAGACACAACTATAAACTTTAGAATGTATTTTAAAGTTTGGAATTATATTTTATACTTTGAAAACGTTTTAAAATACCTTTTTTAAAGTTTAAAATAAATAAAGTTTATAATATTGTGATTATCTGTTAAACAGTAAATCGGTGACGCAGCAGATTTATTTTCTTTATTGACATTTTGATGGAATAAAATCTTATAATTAATAATAATATAAATATATGTTAAATATAAGTATTTCTGTATTTTGGCAGTCGCCATGGTAACCGCTCCGATGGTGCTGATGGTGTGTCTCGCGCTCGCGCTGTGTTCCCGCGGCGGGGAGGCGCGTGTCAGACTGAACTCCATCAGGACGGTGATCCTGCGGGAGGGGCACGCGCTGCCGGTGAACAGGAGCACGTGGGAGCCGAGCGTAGACCTGACGGTGAGTGTGTGTGTGTGTGT